TGACAGTTGAGATATTTACTAAACTTCAGGAATTACTTGACAGTTCAGATATTTACTAAAACTTCAGGAATTACTTAACACTTAAGACATTTACCAACAACTTGAGGAACACCTTGAGAGTTGAGACATTTACCAACAACTTCAGGAATTACTTGACAGTTAAGATATTTACCAACAACTTCAGGAATTACTTGACAGTTAAGATATTTACCAATAACATCAGGAATTACTTGACAGTTGAGATATTTACTAAACTTCAGGAATTCCTTGACAGTTCAGATATTTACTAAAACTTCAGGAATTACTTGACAGTTAAGATATTTACCAATAACTTCAGGAATTACTTGACAGTTGAGACATTTACCAACAACTTTAGGAACACCTTGAGAGTTGAGACATTTACCAACAACTTCAGGAATTACTTGACAGTTAAGATATTTACCAACAACTTCAGGAATTACTTGACAGTTGAGACATTTACCAATAACTTCAGGAATTACTTGACAGTTCAGATATTTACTAAAACTTCAGGAATTACTTAACACTTAAGACATTTAACAACAACTTCAGGAATTCCTTGACAGTTCAGATATTTATTAAAACTTCAGGAATTCCTTGACAGTTCAGATATTTATTAAAACTTCAGAAATTACTTGACAGTTGAGATATTTACCAAACTTCAGGAATTACTTAACACTTAAGACATTTAACAACAACTTCAGTAATACCTTGCAGTTGAGACATTTACTAAAACTTCAGGAATTACTTGACAGTTGAGACATTTACCAACAACTTGAGGAACACCTTGAGAGTTGAGACATTTACCAATAACATCAGGAATTACTTGACAGTTGAGATATTTACTAAACTTCAGGAATTACTTGACAGTTAAGAGTAATTCCTGAAGTTTTAGTAAATATTAACACTTAAGACATTTAACAACAACTTCAGGAATTACTTGACAGTTGAGACATTTACTAAAAACCAGAAATTACTTAACACATAAGACATTTACCAACAACTTGAGGAACACCTTGAGAGTTGAGACATTTACCAACAACTTAAGAATTACTTGACAGTTATAATATTAACCAACAACTTCAGGAATTACTTGACAGTTAAGATATTTACCTATAACTTCAGGAATTACTTGACAGTTGAGACATTTAGCAACAACTTGAGGAACACCTTGAGAGTTGAGACATTTACCAACAACTTGAGGAACACCTTGAGAGTTGAGACATTTACCAACAACTTTAGGAATTACTTGACAGTTGGGACATTTACGAACAACTG